GGAATAGTACTGCCAGAATGAACGATATCCAAAATGTCTTCTAGTTTACAAACTTCAGCCGTTCTGTTTACACGGGGATCACTACTCATTCTGTTTTCAATCGTCATCAACAACACACTTATTAAACAGGTATTGACTGCATTCTGATAGATAAATACAGATTGTTTTCCATAGTAGTTACCCATTTTTATTTTACTTTAAAGAAAAGTCAAAGTATCGAAAAAATCCCCGGCTTCAAATCAACCGCTGGTTATTAGTCTTCTTCCTCTCCATCCAGCTCGGCGTGGATCTTTTCAAGTCTCTCCTTGAGGCGTCTGCAGTTTTTGAGATTGTGCAGAAAAGCCTCCGAAGCGCCTTGGATCCTTCATTCAGCTATGTAAATGTTTATATCATTAAGACTCTGGTCAATCGCAGTAATGAAGTCGGCGAGCCAAAGTCTTTTTCATTAACGCGTTGTAATTGTTTCTGAAGAAATATTCTGGAATGTCATTCACACAATCGTGTTGCCTCTGGCTGGGGTGACTGACTCGGGATCCATTGCAGATTTCTTCTCTGTACCGATGCAGCACCCTCTCCAGAATATCAACCAACTCCGATTTCACTATGTTCAAAAACAGAGACGTGTTGGCCCCAGGAGTAACATCAGCAGCTGTAGTATTGCAAGATTTGGGTGTCCACAATGCTGGGGACGATAGTAGTCCAGGAGTTTGTTCCTGGCTGCATCTCGCGGGGGGAGACTTGGTTTTTCTCAGATCCCTGGCTAGTTTTCAACGGGCGTCTTAGTGGGGTCCTTCGTTTTAGATGATTTGCTGAGTGGGGGGTGGACTTATTGCGTTGAGTGGGGGGAGTCATCTGTAGAATTGAGAGTTTTTTAGAAAAGTTCTTTAAGCTTTGTAGCTTTTTCATCTATCATTTCCAACCAAGCAGCAAGAGGTCAAATGTAAGAATAAGTAATAGTTTGTCACGATTTTACGGAAAAAGTCAAAAGTATAGTTTGTCTGAAAAAATATATATATATATATATATATATATATGGAAAAGTCATTGTGTACAATAGTATGTTGAAAAACAAAAACAAAAAAAGAAAACTCAATTCATTACAAAATAATGAATATTTTACCAAGTTATAAAGTTTTGCATCCATTAAAGTGTAACTATAAGTATCTTTGTAGGAGAAAAAAAAAAAAAATAATAATTTAAGTTACTTCCATAAAACTGGATTGTCTTACCTTTAAGAGTCACAGTCTTAAAGAAAATCTGTTCAGAAAAAGTACTTAACTTTCTACCAGTTGTAAAGTTGTCATACATAAAACTGTATCCAAAAAAGTAAGTGAAAGACAACGGGAGAAAAAAAAAAAAAAACTTCCCCTTTTAGAGTCACAGTCTTTAAGAAAATACATTTTATTACAAAATAATTGACATTCTACCAGTTGCCAAATGTTCCTACATTAAAGTGTATCAAAAAAGTATCTTGGTAGCTGAAAATAACTAAAATATCAGAGAAAACCTACATTATTTAACTGTACAAGTGTTTTTAAAAATAAAAAAAACGGGGTATTAAAGAAACCCCCATTCCTTACAAAGTACTTCATATTATACCCTTTTGTTAAGTGTTGCATACATCAAAAGTGTATCTAAAAGTATCTTGGTAACACAAGAAAAGAGAGAAAAAAGTAAATAAGTGTTAAAAATCACAAAACTTGCCTTTTAGAGAAACAGTCTTTAAGAAAAAATCTAATCAGACAATGTACTTCATTTTCTAGTTTTAAGGTTTTGCATACCTCAAAGTGTGTCTAAAAGTATCTTGGCATGAGAAAAAAGCCAAAATCTGCCTTGTGTCAGTGAATAAGTGTTAAAATCACAAACTTATAGATAAGCTAGAGGCTATTTTAGATTTGTCTATTAGAGTTAAAGGGTTAAATAACATTTTCAACTGCTGTTCATAGTTACTGGATACATAACGAACCTCATCATTATCTCGATTTTCTACTTCCATTTTTTTATTTAACAGTGAAACGTCTTATTTTAGTACAGTCTAGTCAAAGGAGTTAATACTATTACTATATATGAAAGCAAGAATAAAACACATTTTAATTTGTTATGGTTGCTTAATTGAAAAACACACCATTCGCCACATTTTCAGAAAGACATATTACATTTGACCAAGTTAATGTCGTAGTGCATTCAAGGTAATAGACTTACCGATTTGCACTGCTGCTTCTCTCCGCGTTTCATTTACAGTGATCGGTTTATCGTTCAATTCACATTGCCCAAGTAGATGTTTAGGGGTCTCTTGGAAGTAAATGAATGCATTTTTTTATATCAGATAAGTGCATTAACATCACTTGCAAATTCTCTATCCTTTCACCCGCAACGATTATAATCTGCTTTGCTTCTTCTTCGGTTTCACCATTATTAGCTCTGAATGTAATACTTTCTGGGGCTTCTTGTGCTTCTTGTGGTCTGTAGAATACCTGGCATAGGATTTGTTTAGCTGTAAGGACGGGTACCATATAATTATCTTCAGAAGCTGGAAATTCTTACAAGTTCCCCCTCCTCAAAGTTCATTCCCGTAGCACCTTTCCCCCACTGATGCTAGTGACCCCCCTTTGTATGCTAATTACCCCTTTGTTCGAGGCGTTATCACATGTAGGTGTGTTCAGTTAAACACTGAGATTTTCAACATACTACTCTACAAAATGATTTTTTCATATTCTTTTGACAAACTATACTTGACTTTTTTACGGAAAATCATGACACACTTTAATGTGACTTATTCTTAATTTTACCATACTAAAGTAAGACTTGAAAATACTATATCGTTTTCTAGTTTTTTATATTATACATCCTTATTTATGTTAGTGTGCTGAGAAAACACAATAAGCAATAGCGTTTTAACAAGCAGTTTAAACTGTCTGTGTCAGTTTTACTTATCTCCATATTAAGTGATTATATAATATGACAGTGATCATTTCTATGTTTATTCATTGCAAATACTTAGTTACTTACCACTTGAACTGTTTAGCTCTTCAAGGTTAACTGACCTAATATATACACTTTTTTTTTTTTGTAGTATTGTCACCACGTTCTTAAGAATTATATGGACGAGTTGGCAGCTGCCATGGCTGGACTGTCAATCAAAAGTTACCAGTTATCAAGCGATGGTATGGACAACTTAACAGCTAACTTGGCTAGACTTACTATGAGGAGTCAGCAGGTAGCAGATGAGTGTGTGAATGAAATAACAGCTGCCTTCAGAGGACTCTCCACTAATGCACAGCAGCTTCCTGTTAGTGCCTGCACTGAGAATCCTCAAATACAGAGACAAGTCACTTTGTCCACGCTCCCTGAGACCCTCAAGCCCACTAATGCCCAGGTGAATAATATTGACAGTGATAACTTCTATGTTTATGCATTGCAAATACTTAATTATTTTTTGTTAGTTCTTTAAGGTTATATAACCATATGTTTCTCACCATGTAACAAGTGATCATTTGGAAAAATGTATCCCAGCCTTTGAAAAAACTCAAAGGGAGAGGACAGTGAAGGCCATGAAGCCAAAGCCAAGACGTGGTGGAGTGCTGCGCAGGTATGTTCTCTAACAGCAACACTCTATTAAACATGTCTTTATTGACTACAGCTTAAGTTCATCCTATCATAAGGCTAAAAAAGTATCTTAGTAACAAAAACAAAAGCAAAAAGCATTAATGTTAACAACGCCTCAAAGGGCGGACTCCTGAGTTCCATGGCACGTGGACTATTTATATCATCCAGGGCTCAACCCCAGTAAATACACCTCTCTTTATCCGCTCTCCAAGCCTCCAAGGGCGGACTCCTGAGGTCCGTAATGCCCCCCTAACATGACACTTAGACTATTTACATCATCTAGGGAAGCACACCAGTAAATGTAGCCTCATGTAACTTCATATAGGGATTCTTTAATAGTTGTGTGAAGTAATTAAACAATAAGGGGGTATTAAGATCTTTAAATTATAATTTTCCTCTCAAAGAGACTTCGTTGTACACACACACACAAACAAAACAACATTAAATAATGACATGATATTATAGTGATAACACATAATGTGTAGAAAGAGATCTCCTGTATGGGTTGATTGCGCGTTGATCTGTTGGTAAATGCTCATCTATCATTTTCAACCAAGCAGCATGAGGTCAAATTTAATAAGTAATAGTTTGTCACGATTTTACGGGGAAAAGTCAGAGCGCAATGTCACATCTTAAAGACAGCTTGAACTGGATAGATGGTTAGTCTTTTTTCAAACATACCATATGTTCTGCATGTTAGTATATTTGGCCAAAGCGGGTTAGGCCCTACTGCCCCACTCCCCCAATAGGGAAGTCACGCTTTGGGAAGAGGTGTTTAATTTCACAGATCTGACTTGATTGCTGTTGTGATGGCTGAAGTAATAGGGACGGGGGAGGAAAATTCAGGGGTGAAGAAGCAGAAAGATAACTTGTTTGTAAAGCGGACAGCACGTCAGTTTCAGGAAAGATGACACATATAACTTCATATAAGGATTATTTTATTAAGGGGTGATGTAATTAAACATAAAGAAAAAACCAAAATACCCCAGGGTCATTAAGATTTTTAATTTATTGCCAACCTCTTCAGAGAGACTTTGTTGCATTTATTACCAGATTACCCCTCCTTTCTATAAGAGAGGCCCTTATAGTTAGTATAGTAATTAAACATTAGTTCACCATCCGTACACTTCAAGAGAGCCTCCTTAGTTATTAACCCAACTCTTATTTAAAATAAAAAAAAGGCTGGGTAGGAGGGGAATACGGGTATGTGTGTGTGTGTGTGTGTGTGTGTGTGTGTGTGTGTGTGTGTGTGTGTGTGTGTGTGTGTGTGTGTGTGTGTGTGTGTGTGTGTGTGTGGAGGGAAATCTCTCAGAATGATATCCCCTTTAGCGCAATACAGCATCAGCTACACCACTTATGCGACATACAAGAATAGTGTGTGTGACAGACAAAAGATGTCCTGTAGGGGCTGATTGCGCATGGACATAAACGCTAGTAAAGTCTAATCTGACGGGGGAGACCCGCTGTTGCTGACGGGGGGAGATCCGATGCTGCGGACTATTCGACATGCATCTCTGCATGCGGTGAGCGGAACAAAACACACTCTTCAGATATCACACGTAGCTATTTTATTTACCTCTCAAACTACCTAAACTATTTATAGATATGTTTTAGTTTTACTGTCGAGTCACTCATTATTGGACCCGCGACTTTGATACTGTCGTGTTGTCAGGAGGGGGAGAGCAGTCCGTTTATTATTCCCGTGTTATTGTAAATTACTGTACACGTTTTTGAATAGTTAATTAATCTACTATAATTAGTTGGTTTAATATCGAATCATATCAGTTTGTTTCAAAGCTCATTAAATAACATAGAAGACCTTTAACCGGCACTTTTCTAATTCTGCCTCGGAAGATTTAAACTGTAACGAACATGCCGACCGGACAGGAGGGGGGAGGAGGAGGGGGTTGAGAGGGGTGGGGGCTGAGGAGGGGGGATGTGAAACCTGCTGTAAGGAGGGGGTGGGTTGAGAGGGTGGGGGCTGAGCGGGGTGGGGGCTGAGAAGGGTGGGGGCTGAGAAGGGTGGGGGCTGAGAAGGGTGGGGGCTACCGGTGAGGATGTAACACCTGTATGTGAGGGGGAGGGGGGCGGGCTGAGGGGGGTGGGGGCTACCGGGGGGATGTAACACCTATACGCGATAACACCTCGAACAAAGGGGCGCATTAGCATATCAAAGGGGCTCATTAGCATATCAAAGGGGCTCATTAGCATAATTAGGGGGCGGGACTTAGAAGGTGTGACCTGTCACTTTTTTATGCATACTAATGTGATTGAAGCGGGATTGGTAACACTACTGACATATGTTGCATTTATAAATGTCAACACCTCCACACAGAGACAAATGACTAACCCCTCTATGTCAACAGAAACTGAACATCCTAGGCATCATAATACTATAGCAGAAAAGTTGTGTTTTATTGCGTTAGATTGTACAGGTGTACCTACCAATCACATGTAATAGGTGGATAAATTACTGAAAGGAATAACAAAATGAAGTTTAAAACCCTTTTTTTTTTTTAAAGTTTGTTGTTAATTCCTCTTTTGAAAAAAGGGATAAAGTCCTGAAATTATAAATCGATCAATTCAATTGTATTTATATAGCCTAAAATGACAAATAAAAATGTGCCTGATGCAGAATGTCCTTAAACCCTTGCAGATAATAAGAAAAAACTCCCCCAAAAATTGGGGACATGTTGTTTTTAACCGTGAGCTTTATAATGCTTACATTTGATTCAATTGAATTAATCAATTCATAATTGCTTTTAAAATGTGTAAATTGTACAGTCACATACGTTAATTCCTGAGATATTAAGGTTTTCTTTGTTGTGGTCCCACAGATCACTTTTTCCAACAAGGCTGGGTGTATATCCGTCCCAGTTTCTATTACATTTCTTCTGTCAGGAAAACGTGGCTGGAAAGCAGAGCTGACTGTCTGCAGAGAGGTGCGGACCTCGTGATCATCAACAGCAAAGCAGAGCAGGTGTGTGTGTGTGTGTGTGTGTGTGTGTGTGTGTGTGTGTACACATTTTCTGTTAAAATCTCCTGTATTTTGAATCGTGTGATGGATGTCAAGTCAAAAGTCAAAGTCAACTTTAATGTCAATCTTCCAGTTGGTGTGTACATACAGAGAGATCGAAATACTGTTTCCCACAATCCCGAATATAAAAACAATGTATATAGAATATAAAATGTGAAAATATGTGTGCATGTATATACACAGTGCGACTGGTTTCTGCTGTTGAGACACCTAAATAAAAATACAACAATCAATATATACAAAATAACAGTCACTTCAATATTTTGAGAATGTACATTAGTGCAAATTGTCCATAGAATGTGCATTATTGCAATATTGTCCATAGCAGCGTAAAAAGTGTCCGGTATCAAGGCCACCGTCCATTTCTACTGATGATTGACGATAAGTGTTTTTCTCTGTAAACCAGGATTTCATGACAAAATTCAACAGACTCACATGGATTGGACTGACGGACGTAAAAACCGAAGATACTTGGAAGTGGGTGGATGGCACTCCACTCAACAAAAGGTTAGCTCATAGCTTTTTTTTCAAATGACATTAAATCAAAAAAGCATCTTGTAGATGTTCATGTTAGATTAATAAATATATCTAAAATGATTCAAAGGGAACATTTAATTGTGCAATTTAAACCAGTTTATCAGATGCATCTTGTGTTATGTTTGTTATTAAAGAGGATTTGTGTTTTGGTTTCAGCTACTGGGGACCCGGGGAGCCGAACAGCTTTGAAGGCAATGTGGAGGACTGTGTAGAAATAAGGTTTTTTGACCTGGAGAACAGCTGGAATGATATTCAATGTGGAGATCAAAACTTCTGGATCTGTGAAAAGATGTTAGCTATATAACGCAACATAATAATGAAATAAACTCCACTTCAAAAACAGACAAGGAGGCACATGCGCAGATACAGATAGAGAAGCAAACCAGATTTAAAGTCTTTAGGAATATCTGATTTGTGGCTTTGTTTAATAAGGAAGGAAATGTTTTGAGCGCGTTTGACCTCAACAGCACTCTCAGTGCATGTAAATGTCTGTTTGTTTAAAATACATTTATTACACTGGCTTATTTGTATTTATACCATTACTGAAAGTGAAAGCAATGGAATAACCTAAGCTGTTTGAATTAAGATCATTCCTATTGAACTAGATGTATGTTTAAAGTCTTGTTTCTGCAGATGCTCTAAACCCCATCTGATAATTCAATGGATGGTTGCCAATATTTACAAATAATCATGTGATAATAATTGAAATGTGTGTAATGATTGCTTGGCATTATGTCTGGGAAGGAGAATAAAACTAATAGAGTTTTACCTATTCTCTGGCACAATAAATTAATCAATTAAATGTTAAAATGTCAAGTATTCGGTATTGCATTAAACAACAGTTTACTGTATTGTTTTTTTTTAATTCAAATAATAATAAACCACCAGCTGTCATGCAGCTTTACTTCAAATACTTTGTCAGTGCTGCAGCTACAAATATTCACCTTCTGAGCACATCTATCTTTCAGTCTAAAGATAGATGGATGGGTATAGATAGCTATACTAGATAGATAGATAGATAGATAGATAGATAGATAGATAGATAGATAGATAGATAGATAGATAGATAGATAGATAGATAGATAGATAGATAGATAGATAGATAGATAGATAGATATATAGATAGATAGATAGATAGATAGATAGATAGATGATAGATAGATATTAGATAGATGATAGATAGATAGATAGATAGATCGATAGATCGATCGATCGATAGATAGATAGATAGATATTAGATATATATATATATATATATATATATAGATAGATAGATAGATAGATAGATAGATAGATAGATAGATAGATAGATAGATAGATAGATAGATAGATAGATAGATCGATCGATAGATACATAGATAGATAGATAGATACATAGATATATATTAGATAGATAGATACATAGATAGATACATAGATACATAGATAGATACATAGATAGATGTGAACTGTGACATTAAAACATTTTGTGATAATAGAAAGCCCCACCATGTAGTTTGTATAAGGGTCACCTAACACCTTTCAAACCACCAGCCCTCAGTTTCCTGATGACGTGGCAAACACATGCGTAAATATAAATGATAGTTACTTTCCGTGCACAGTTGAGGGTGATGAATGTCAAACGCACACGTTGCAGACTTTGATGACATCAGGCAGCACGGACCAAACTGCACCTTCAGTACAGCTGGACACCATGGGTGAAATGTCCATCTATATGAATGTAGAGGAATTATCGGTTTACCACAGCCGGAGCAAAAGGGAGACAAAATGAACAGAAAATATTTATGAATATTTGTCTATCCTTAATCAGGGGCCACACAGACCTGGAACTGCAGCCTCAGGTAATAAACATATAACATTGTTTTACACACAGGCACACAAACAGGACAAGACTATTAGTTTAATATAGTCAAGGTGTGACTTTTGCTCACAAACCCTTTTTACTTGTGGTTACTCTTTCCAAGCACTTTCTGTATCCTTTAATTTACTTGAACCTGAAATACAAAGAAGCAAATTGTAAACATTACATTTTACCTTCAGATGCTAAAGAGGTGAAGCGTAGTTCCTGCAGAGCTGCTGAAGTTTTTCTGCGTCTGCTGTGTCTATTCCTTCTGACTGGACTCATACCTCTGGTTTACCTTTGTGAGTACTTTGTTAGCTTGATTATAAAACACAAAAGGAGTTTACTGGTTGTCAGTGTTTCTTTATGCATTTGTTTATGTGTCAAACACAGTAATTAACAGCAACTCGGAGTGGAAAATGGAGGTGGTCCTGTTACAAAACAGTTACAACAACCTGACAATACAGAAAGATCAGCTACAGACAAGTTACAACATCCTGACTGAAGAAAGAGAGCAGCTTAAGATCAGTAACAACAACCTCACCAGTGAGAAAAAACAGTTACAGATTAACCTGACAATACAAAAGGATCAGTTACAGACCAGATACAACATCCTGTCTGAAGAAAGAGAGAAACAAATCAAAGCCCTGACCAGTGAAATAAATGATCATCAGAGAAAACTTCAAGGTAATTACAAGTGTAAATGTTTAGTGTTTTAAAGAGTTAGGTGCCGAGGAAGAAAGATTTCTGTGGCCAAGAAATGCCATCAATAATCTGTCTCCTCTACTCTCAACAGCAGAAACCAGTCGCAGCGTTGCCTGAGAAGAAGTTCAGAGGACATCAAGAAGAAATCGGGAAAGATCAATGATGTTTCACTCTCACATCCGGCGACAGATACTTTTGAGCAACAGGGAGGGACGGGGGTAACCATATCCCACCCATGTGCAAACAAACTGTAACAATATTGCTTGAATTAGGTAGACAGGACACCTTTTTTATATTTACATTACCCACCCTAGCTTTAAAAATGACTCGTAGTAATTAATGTGTCCTCCTAAACCATGACACCCTGACAGTGAGCCAGCATGCATGATACCAGGAGCTTCAAACTGAAGCAGAATGTAGGGTAGGTAATTCACTTCAGAAACACTTTTTGTTATATTCCAGGGAATGCTCTTAACATCCCGACAGCAATGAATACATTAAATGATTTGACAATAAATACATTAAAAAAATTCATCTGTGGAAGCCGTGGCGCTGTAAAAAGCACGACCAATCATCTGAGCCGGCCCGGCTAAAATAACTGGATGGCCTACTTGCCTGTCAGCCTTCAATCTCGTACACAAACTTATCTCGTGCCCTCATTGGTCATGTGCGCGTTCGTGTGTGTTGGAGGAGGGGCTCTGTAAGGAAGTCTGAAGGAAGGGGCAGATGTTTTCGGCTGCGTACTTTCAAATTCTAGCGCACTCGAGCTGGTTTCTCCATTCTTACCTACCCTACCTTTAAAGGGGACCTATCATGCAAAATGCACTTCTGTACGTCTTTTATACATGAATATGTGTCCCCGGTGTTCCAGGGAACTCACCAAGTTTCAGAAAACACAACCCTCTCTATTTTCCTCCATACCCAAATCTCTAAAAACGGGGCTGCAACGGATCTGATCAAAACTGATCCAGATTTGAACACGTTACTGACGTCAGGACGGTGGCGCTACGGCTATTGGGCCAACTCTCCACCTATCAGGGGAATGTGGGGTAGGGCCACGGCCGGCCATTGCCGCTCGAAAGCGCTGGAGACGCTGTAGTACATATGCCAGGCCTGTAAGTGGCGCTGTAGTCTGCCACAAAAGCAGCGAAGAAGACTTCCCGCGCATGGTTGCCATGGTTGCCCTTCTGTTTATTCTCCGCTGTGGCTTTTTTTCTCCCTCCCCGAGGCAAGCGTTTGCTCCTGCTGCTGTAATTCAATGCAATCCCTCCCCGTCGAGGCAAGCACTGTAATTCTCTCCGGTTAGTCCACCAGCAGATGACAAACACCCACCTCTCCGCCTCTTCCAAGGAACGAGGGGACCGTGTGGCAGAGTTTCAGTTAGATTTTTTTTCGCCGGTCAAGATGTCCGTTCAAGTTTAAATCTTCTGGACAAAATTTGAAAAGTGCACGTCAAAGGTCTTCTTTGTTATTTATTGAGCTTTAAAACAAATGAATAACGACTCTATATAATAATATAATAAAACAAGGAGGACGGAGATCTCCCCCTCTTCTGACAGCTCAGCAGCTGTTCAGAGCACGCTCCCCTCTCCTGCAGCTCACAGAATCAGCCCCCTGCAAAAACAGTGCTGGAAAGAGCAAATGGAGCGAAATGAGGCATGGCTAAAATGCAGGATCTGTTTGGTATTTTGAAAAAAAAACTATATTTATATACTTTATATAGGTATGGCCCTACAATATATTGTTCAAATATAGCATGATAGGTGATCTTTAACCTGTTCCACTCTGAGCCTGTTTTTCAGGTCTCAGGCTTGAAAATGACATTCCCAGAACAAATGACCATATCTTCCCTTCTAAAAGGGTTAAATTAATAATCTTTTTTCTCAAAGTAATGATAAACCTGTGAGTTGGATGTAGAAGTGTCAGAATCAATATAAATGTTTTTTATTTTAAAGAAAATTCAGATTTTACATAGTAAAAAACTGTAAATTATAGTGTCCGTCCAAAAATTATTTTTTACAGATAGTGAAAACTACCCTTGGATGATGGGTTAGTAGACTAAAAGCTTTAGGAATCCAAAGTACAACATATAATAAGTACCCTGTATCAAGATTGATGCAAAACAAGTGAAATTTGACCTTTTTAGAGAGATTTAGCAAAAAACTGGGCCATCTGGGGTCATTTGGGTGGATTTGACCTATCTCTGGCCCCCCTTGCTCGATTTGGTTGGTTGACATACCCTTGTGACCGTTAGAGCCAATAGAATCGAAGGAGGAGACTCACATACACACACATTGTAAAGAAAAAATGTGGCCGCTTCGCGTGTGGAAAACGAAACCAAACTGGAGGAATGTCTCCTTCTGGAGTTTGGAAACTAAAACGCAGTTGTATTGCTTATGGATTATCAGAAATAATTTCAAAGAAGGCACAGACACATAGGATGAACCTATGGATTAACTGCAGCATCGTTTTTTTATCGTTTTAATGCCATTGAAGACCACTTTTGACCAAGGTAAGCCATATTTACATGTTTAGCTTCTTAGCTCCACATGTGATGATGTACGCTTTCGTTGATAGCGTCGCGAATGTTTATCACTGAGTGTTGAGGTGGGCACCGGTAGATTCAGTGTCTCCAGGACACCAAAAACGAGTGGTTGGCTGTGCATCTAGGATAAGTAATAAGGGAGTTATGAGTGAGTTTAAGTGCCTTAGTAGGTCCCGTTTTTTCGATCGAGGCTAATTCAGAGGCTGAATTAAAAAGATCAGTTAGCTGAGTTTCTTCCCGTTACATGGATATAACACATTCATAGTTTTATTCAATATTAAGATTCCTTAGACGTTGTTTCCTGCAAATGACGCGTTTATCCGCCCGGTACCGGGGGGAAGGTGTGAAACAGGTTAAAGGGGACCTATCATGCAAAATGCACTTTTGTACGTCTTTTATACATGAATATGTGTCCCCGGTGTTCCAGGGAACTCACCAAGTGTCAGAAAACACAACCCTCTCTATTTTCCTCCATACCCAAATCTCTAAAAAAGGGGCTGCAACGGATCTGATAAAAAACTGATCCCGATTTGAACACTGTCCTGCCGTCAGGACGGTGGTGCTACGGCTATTGGGCCAACTCCACCAATCAGGAGGAGACAGCCCGGCCATTGCCGTTCGAAAGCGCTGGAGACGCTGTAGTACATATGCCAGGCCTGTAGGTGGTGCTGTTCTCACAGAATCAGCCCTTGCAAAAACAGGGCTAAAAGAAGTGCAAATTGAGCGAAATGAGGCATGGCTAAAATGCATGATCTGTTTGG